CTCTCTCCGTCGTCGTCGTCGTCGTCCACCGACGAAGAAGAAGAGAGAGAGAGAGAGAGAGAGAGAGAGAGAGTTGGGTTGTTGGGTCATGGGTAAATAGAGAGAAAGCTGGGTGTGGGGTTTGCACCTGGTGAGAGAAGGCGGCTGCACTTTCATTCGAAAAACTTCAAGCTTAACTTGAATTATTTTGACAGTAACTTTTGCCTAGACACGACAGTATTTTTCTTTCAATCTAAAAATCTAGCAAAATCTTGTGGTTGTCCAAATGGTTCAAAGTCCATTTCACAAGATTTTTGGATTGCAATAAAGAAATATTCCAATTTTGGGTTCATCCAAACTGGCACTTAAAAATATATTTATAGATGTGTTCGATAAGATATTCATATCTTTATCTTTATTCTGAATTTTGAGAAATGCTGAGTCATATTATGCTTTCCTTATCCTTTTACATATCCATAACCATATCCCAGCATCTTGGATATGATATAATGACTCATGTTTATTGTCATTTTGATTATAGATATCATTGACAGGTGCTGACTAGGATGATCTGAATTATTTTTATCCATATTGGTCAATTGAATCATCTGCTTTTTTATCTATAAAAAGATGATCATTTGTGGTTATTATATTTGTATTTATATACTACATCGAATTTTTAAACAGTGATTTTTGATACTAAAGATATGCATGGTTCAGGATGATTACATGATGGGATCAATTTTGATCTTGATATTGCAAATCCCAGAAGTGGGGCTCTTCTGATAAGTATTTGTTTCTTTGATAGATTAGGGTTTTCTGATATGCCTAATCTAATTGCTCATCTCTACAGCTGAACGTCTCTGTTGGAGCGCCTGGTCTTTAGTTCCCTTTTTCTTTTGTATTATACGATAAAATTCAGTATATGGATAGAGAGTCATTAGTGTTTGCTTGTTTCTAACAGGTGCTGTTGTTTTTTAGGAAAAAAGGATGGTTCTACATTTGAAAGACCAGTTATTGAAGATCGTAGCCCAGTGAAGGATTCACATGATGCTTACAGTGATATTCCTGAAAATGATGCGCGTAAACCTTTGAGGACATCTGTCAAAGATCTGAGTCCTGAAGGTGTTTCGCCTCCAGTTGTTGGGCTATCCTCAGACAGCAAGGAGCAGGACACTGCAAAGCCATTGATTGACGATGTGAGCCCTATGAGAGCAATTGCAAGTTATTACTCGGAGGATGACACCGATGAAGCTGAAAGGCCATCTATTAAAGATGTAAGTCCTGTTATTGTTTCACCTGAGACTACAAAGCTTCCTTCAAAATTCCATGACAAACAAGAAACCGAAGGTACCTTTGGATTGAAATGCGCCTTTCATTTTATAGAATAAGATGTGTTATATAAACAAACTTCTTACTGCAATGGAAACAAGTCATCCTCATGTCAATTGAAACGTTCAATTGACAGGAGTGGAGCATACTTGGGAAGTTTCCCCATCATCTCCCAAATCAGTATCACCGAAGGATTCACCTGCTTTTTACAAAGTGGAATCACCATGTTTGACCCCTTCAAAGCCAACAGAAGAATATACAGAAAGCAATGAAATGGGGTCACTCCGTGAATTTTCCAAGCACGATCATCCGTTACAAGAGAATGATATTGGTGTTGAACCACAGAAGGAACGGCCTCATGTGGCGGATGTTTTAAAAGAGGCTACTTCAGCATTGGTTGTGGATGAGTTTGGGAGATTAGTTAGAGAAGGTGCGAGTGATAGTGAATCAGATGGTCTGAGCAATAGGAGAGGCAAGAGGGGCAGGAGTAGGAGCCGTAGCCGTAGCAGGTCTCCCCAAGAAAACTGGCGGAGGAGGAGAAGTCGTAGCCCACGAAGGAGAAGGGACAAACGGAGTCGATCTCACAGGTAATTGTTGTGAAGACTATTATATGATGAGACCGTTGACTTTTGATACATGAAGGTCACAATCATTGTCAACTGTTAGATGTGAAATTGAATGGGTGTTGATGTGTCGCTAATTATGCACAAAGTTCGAAACAAATTTTCTCGAAAGCTACGATACATTTTTAATATGTCAGACTTCACATCCAATGCCTAAGAAAAGTTGTGACCTTCATGTACCAAAAATGAATTGTCTCATAGTATGCAATCCCTATATATATATATATATATATATATATATATATAGT